ACTTTAAACTTTTTTTGTTTTGTTTATGCTACTAAATTTGCCATCATGCTAATACGGAGTACAGTAATAAGGCACTGAGGATGCTCAGATCCTCAGTCTGAAAAATTTTCCATCTGCCGTGGAAAGTGCCAGGCTGCCCCCTGGTGTGGAGAGGGAGAACGACACCTCTGGGTCCCTGCTCGCTCAGAGCCCTGGTATCCATCTTTCTGACCCCAGGCCCCCAAGACCTTATTTTGCGCCGGGTCAGTACAGGGGCAGGGAGTGGGCTCAGCGTGGGGTGTGCTATTTCCGGAAGCCCTGTGTTTCTGCACTTGAAGATGGAACCTTTGGACTTTTTGCAGTCCAGCTGTGCATGGACTTGAATTGAGGGTGACCTAAAAATAAATTAGGACACCAGGCAGGGTGAGGCACTAGAAAGGCTCTTTTCTAATTGTGCTTCGTAACCTTGACCTCTGGGCTGTTGAGACCATCTGCTTCAGCCGAGAGCTCTTGCGAAGAGGGCGCAATACTGGGGATCAGATCCTGAGTTCAAATCCTGCTACTGCTTCAGTTGTATGTCCTCGGGCATGATTCCAACGCCCCTGAGCCTCTGTTTCCCCATCTGTAGAATGTTAATAACAACCTAACATCCGCTTCAGCATTGTCATTATTTATAAGGCAATATCGTTGGAACCATTTTGGAAAATTACTTCGTGTTGTAGGGCAATTAAGCTCAATACCTGAAATTTCCTGAGTGCAGGGGTCATTGCTTCTCATACCTTCTGTGGTGAAGAATCAGCTATTTCTTCCCTGGTACTTTGTAGCCAATACTTTTGTAAAATATGATAAAAACGTTTACTAAAAAAAATGAAAGGTGCAACCTCCCCCCCCAAAAAAAAACAAGCACAAAATACAAGCCTCACCTTGAAACTATTAGATGCAACAGACATAATTTGTCAAACAGCTATTGAGGTGTCTAAATGCTTTCAGTTTTGGTACCTAACCCGAGGGGGGCTGGCTTTCAGCGCAGGTGTCTTCAGGCCGCACCTGGAATAACCCTGTCTCAGGGCAGGGAGGGGTATAATTAATTTTGTATCCCTACTTCTTTGTATTTAGAAAGCACCTAAAAAGAACTTTAAATCAATGAATGAGAGCATCTCTTAGAATGAACACAGAGCCCCCATCATTATCATCCTGTGACCCCGGAACATGGCTCCCTCCAAGGCTATTCTCTTGATTTTGCATCCTGGGGGCCTGCACTGAACCCTGGCTGCCCTTCTGTTCTGGCTGCTGTCGTTTGGCCCTTGTGGTTGGTGTTTGCACATCTGTCTCATCTGCCCCACTGGGAGCCCCCTCAGGCCTGGACTGGTCTTTGAATTCACAGGGCTATGAACAAGATCTCTTCCCTTGGAGCTGCCCAGTGCTGCCTGCTGCATACCTCAGCCCACGGAGAGGGCTGCAGCCTGGCCCCCAGAATGGGGTTTCTGCCCTGGTTTTATGGCTCAAGGATCTGGATGCTTAGGCACATCTGAGAAATGAATTGCTTTCATTACATAATTCAGACAGTAGACGGATGTTGCTCACGCTTGCCTGACCCGCAGACTCATCGGGGTGCTGTGTTTTTACAGATTCCTGGCTATTCTCCAGACTTACTGAATCAGGATTTCTAGGGGATGGGGTCCAGAAGGTAGATTTTTAACAAACACCTCCAGGTGATTCTGATGGTCAGGAAACTGGGAAAAGAGAGAACTAATGTGTAAAATCATCTAGTACCAGGGGAGAGCTGCTTCAGCAACTCGGCCCTCAGTTTGCTCCTCTGTAAAATGGGGTTATTCCTGTGGTTATTGTGAAGGTTAAGAGAAATAATGTATGAGGTCTGACAATTAAGTTCACGAACTCATCTTAGAAAAAGTGCTACACACCTCATTGCTGAATATCACTACAATCACCTTCGAAGTACTTCCCTTGGGAAGCTATGCACCAATACCAGTAGCTAGTCCACCCTTCAAAGCAATTTTGGAACTTTTTTTCTGGAATGGCCATCAGAGCTGTCATCGTATTACCCTTGATGTCCTGAATGTCATCAAAATGTCTTCCTTTCAATATTTCCTTGATCTTCGGGTAAAGAAAGAAGTCATTGGGGGCCAGATCAGGTGAGTAGGGAGGGTGTTCCAATACAGTTATTTGTTTACTGGCTAAAAACTCCCTCACAGACAGTGCCTTGTGAGCTGGTGCACTGTCGTGATGCAAGAGCCATGAATTGTTGGCAACAATTTCAGGTCGTCTAACTTTTTCATGCAGCCTTTTCAGCATTTCCAAATAGTAAACTTGGTGAACTGTTTGTCCAGTTGGTACAAATTCATAATGAATAATCCCTCTGATGTCAAAAAAGTTTAGCAACATCAGTGCAACAAGCTCTCAAACTTAATTTTCCGACTTTGTGTGTGAAGTGCTTCGCAGAAAACCTGTCATATTATTTATGTATTATATATATTTAAAGTGCATTTAATGAAATGGTTGACACTGTGTATATCTCACACATCTGTATTGTTGACAAATACCTGATTTTATGAGATTTTAAACTTAATATCATATTGGTAATTCAAGCTTATAGAAAACTTATACGATACACGTACACAGAGGTGAGCAAATAAATGGTACCTGTAATAATCCAGAGATGCAGTTGTTAACGTTTTGGAGCATTTTCTTCTAGTGTGTGTGTGTGCGCACCCACACATATTAAATGTATATTATGTATATATACATATGTTACATATTATTTTGTATATACACAATATAAAATATACATAAAATATTGAATATGTATCATATACATGTGCATATATTATATAATATATATTAAATGTATATTATATATGCATATTTGTATATATACTATATGTATATGTTACACATATGTTATACTATATATTTAATATATATTTATATATATGTATGCGCATACACACATTCATTTTATGTTCAGAAAATAGGATTACACTGTATCTGTTGTTTTGGCTGCTGTTTTCTCGCTTGATAGTAAATGGTAGCATTCTTTGTGTGTCAATAAATAAGAATTTTTTAGATGTGGGGTTAAATCCTGATTCTTCCACGCAGTCGCTTGATGACCTTGGGCAAGTTATTTTAACCTTTCTGGGCTCAGAGCAAACCCGTTAGTTGACAACTGCGACTGTTCTGTGTCACCAGTCTTGGGGAACGGGTGCGAACAGCTGCTGACTCCCAGGGTTTCCATTTGGGAAGCGCTGCTCAATCTCTGCCCCAGTCCCGTTTCACACTCTGGGCAGTTTTCTTGGTTTTTCTCTGCTAGGACTAGCTGTGTTCTTTTCCTGAAAGGCGATTCTTTGTTTCCTTCGCCTCAAGGGGAAGGGCTGGACCTGTGCCTGCCCTCCCCACCTGTCTTCCCATTCCATCTGCATCCTAAACCTCTCTCTCTCTCCCATTGCTCATGCATCAAGGTGGGGATGTCCCTTGATTCTTGCTTCTGGACAGGTGTAGGTCCTGTCTCTGGGTGACCATGGAAACATCTCCCCAGCATCCTAGGATTCCTTTCACAACTAGTTAGAAAACGGTGTTTGTGTCTGTATCCGGAGGACTCAGCCTATCTTCTGCACAGACGTTATCTCATGTGATACCTCAGTCGGGCTGTGAGGAAATGTGATATATGCCCATTTTACAGATGAGACAGTGGAGGCTCAGGAAGCTGATGTGACTTGCCCATGCCTCAGAACTGGAATTCAGAGACTTCCTTCTCCCATCATACCCGTAAGGCTCCCCAAGATGAGTGAGACCCTCTCTCTGCCCTTGAGGGTTCGATGCCCAGCTTTTGGATTTCCTGTTCAGTGTGAAGGACCCGTGAACAGCTCATAGGGACGCATCCTGGTAAAGACAGGGAGCTTTGGGGCTCATACCCTGGCTCCCCGACGTAAATAGTTCTGTGGATCTGGACAAGTGATTTAACCTTCTGATGTCTCAGTTGGTATCATTGCATGGATTCACAATGAACAAACACATTCTGAGCACTTATCCCACTGGTGCCAGGCGCACTGCAAGCATCTAGTAAATGGTGGCTGCTATCATGGGTATTATTCCTGAAAATTCTTTATTGTAGCTGACAAAGATGCCCCCAGCAGACATCATAGAACTGCTCGCCTCGTGGGCTTTTGACCCTGATATCAAAGGAATCTCTCATGCAGAAGATTAAAAAGAAAGAGGCAGATCTATCTGTATAGGAGAGATTTTTTGGGGCTTACTGAATGAAAACAGTGAGCTTGCAGAAAAATACATACTGCGTGATACAATTTATGTGGGGGGAAAAAAACCCTACACATCAAACCACACTGCAGTTTCTACACGTATATATGTGTGTATGAAAGTGCATAGGAAAAGGCCTGGAAAGATATAGACTAATCTCTGTAGGTTCCTTCATCATCTGCAGGGAGAAGAGGCCAGCAATGGAGAGAATAGTCAAAGGGAACTTTGGCCTTATCTGCAATGTTCTAATGTTTTTCTTTCTAAGATTTTTACTGTGGAATTGGGGAAGGGGAACAGTGTTGAGGAATTGGGGAAGGGGAACAGCCAAGTTGTTGTCCTTCAATTAGTTGTGGAGGGCGCAGCTAGCTCAGCTCCAAGTCCAGTTGCCATCCAGCCACCTGTAGGCAGCTTGTGGCTGCTCAGCTCAAGGTGCTGTGTTCAATCTTAGTTGCGGGTGGGTGTAGCCCACCATCCCATGCAGGAGTTGAACAAGCAACCTGCCACCTGTTGGCAGCTTAGCTGCAGCTTAGCTCAGGCACAGCTCACGGGCCTATGTGGGAATCGAACTGGTGACTCTGTTTTTCAGAGCTTGCGCTCTAACCAGCTGAGCCACTCGGCTGGCCTGGAACCAGTCTTTAAATATGGAGTTGGCTGGGGGTTTGCGCGGGGAGAGGGCGGTGGGGAGACACTTGCCTCTCCTCCTTGTGCCAGCACCTCTAAGAGACGTGTTTTCATCTGTGTCTCCGCAGAGCAAGCTGGTGAAGTACTTCAGCCGTCAGCTGTCCTGCAAAAAGAAGGTGGCCCTGCAGGAACGCAATGCCGAGCTGGATGGCTTCCCCCAGTTGCGGCACTGGTTCCGGATCGTGGATGTGCGAAAGGAAGTCCTGGAGGTGACCAAGGCGGCCCCACGTCCCCTACCCCCTACTGGCCAGTAGTCAGCCCCTCCGGCAGTGGTGGGGTTTTGGCTGTGCCTGGCACATAGTAGGCCTTCAGTGAATATGTATTGGATGAAGACACAGGATCCCTGATGCTGTCTGAAGGGGTTATTAAGAGTGGGGTTCTCAAGTCAGAACTCTTTTCATCTCTGCCACTTATTAACTCAGTCACTTTGGCCAAATGACTTTACCTCTTAGATGGGCGCTGTCCAGCAGAGCTTTCTGTGACGGTAGAAATATTTTATATCTGTGCTGTCCGATGCAGTAGCCACCAGCCACCTGTAGCTATTGAGCATTTGAATTGTGGTTAGTGCCTGTGACTGAGGAACTGAATTTTTAATTGTGTTTGATGTTGATGAGTCGTGGCCAGGGGCCAGCCACCATATTGGACACTGCAGTCTTAGGGCATTAGTTTTCTCATCTGCCAGCTGGTATATAAAATGCAATGATCCATGGAAAATGTTCAGCTCATACTCGGGCACCCACTAGCACTCAGTAAACGTCAGCTTATTATTGTTCTTGTTGTTGCTGCTGTTGTAGAAAACTTTAGAAATAGAAGGCTCTCCAATGGCAAAACGAAATGAGGACACACGCTGTCCTGTGTCCACCCTCAGGGAGTGGACCGCACCCTTAAGGTCTCTGTGGTAGTGGGGTTTCCTTACCCTCTCGGATCCCAGGTCCCCACTGTTTCCAGTGACTGGGCTGAGCCCTTCCTAACGAAAGCAGCTCACACTCACTGAATCCTTGGTGCCAGGTGTCATACATGCAAGCTCTCAACTGCTGAGACTGTTCGGATCCTCACAATGACCTTTTGATGCAGATGCAACTGTTGTCCCCGTTGTACAGAGTAGGAAACTGAGGCTCAGAGAAGTGACTAGCCTGGCTAGTGAGTGGACAGGGCTGGCAGGAGAACCATCTCAGATGGACTTCAGAGCCTAAGGTCGACAGCACTGCACTCTCCCCTCATTTTCCGGTTGCTGGGGCCTCCCCAAGCTGGGGAGAAGAAGGGGTGCTCCCTTGCCTGCAGGGCCAAATACCATTTCTGAAGGTGCTCCCTGCTTCCTACTTGAAGAGGCCTGGAAGATCCTCTTCCACCTTTTGTCTTTTTTCAGACCTTGTCCCAATGTGATCTCACCTGAACTCACCAGATCTCACAGTCCTGAGCTAGACACCCCCATTCCTCCACCCCCCCCCGCCCCACCTATCTTGCACACGCACACCAGATTGTGTATGGACCTATATTCCCTTATTTCATTCCCAGGATGGCAGTTTCATGTGAATATCCTTAAAATGGAAGGCCCTGATAAGTACAGACAGTACAGTTTACTTGCGTGGCCCTGTATGCTTTTCAGAAACTTTTGGGACCATTTATTGATCAAGTGGGGAGAATAAGGCAGAGACAAATCTTCCAGACCAGGGGTTGAAACCTGGTGGTCCTCAGGCTGTATCTGACACACAGATAATTTTTTGTTTGGCTGATCAGGTTTCCAAAAACAAATTTTCTTTTGAGCCAATATTGAAAAGTTGAAAGAATTTGCATAAAACCCCAGATCTCTAGCTTCTCCTGAAAAATCTGCATCGCTGACCTCACTGAACTGAATTCCTGTCTGGTGGCAATGAAGTGAATTCTGCTGTCCCTTTGGCTCCCGCAGACTCCCAAGTTCATAGCTGTGCTCATTTACATTTACCTGCCCTGCAGATACCTGAGCTCTGGCTCTTCTTACGTTAGTCGGTGAGAATCTCGAGCCCAGGGCCACCAGCCAGGAGGTGGGGACAGAGCTCGGGTTCCAGCTCTCTGTCTGCAGCTCATGTGTTCGTTCACCAGAGGTCCCCTTTCTGTGGAGGAGCCAGCAGTATGGAGAAAGCTAGGATACCAACCAGACTGCCTGGGTTTAAACCTACTGTGTGACCTTGGGCAAGTGTTCTAACCTCTCTGAATTTTAGTGTCCTAGTTACAGACTAATGATGAAGATAAATACACCTATGTTATGTGGTTTTTGTGACAGTAAAAGAAAATCCATGAAAGGCACTTAAAACAGTGCTCCATCCATTTCATGTATTATTATTATTATTATTATTATTATTATTATTATTTTTATTTTATCAAACAGAAGTACATCTGCTCTTTTGGCCCAGGTTCATTGAAGACTTTCTCCATTTTTGATGTCATTATTACTTCTTTTTTTGTGTTTGTGTGTCACCCTACACATCCATGTAAATTGAGTATTTTTTTTGGGGGGGGTAAATTATAGGATAAAATGCACAAGTGAATCCTGCAGCAGAGAGGAGAATTCTTTTATGTTGGGAATCATCCCTTCTAAATTTGATTCGTTTTGTACTTTCAGATTCTGGTCCACCACCTTTCTTCAAAGTAGGGCTTACTTGTGAGGTGTCCCTAGTTGAAAAAACCTCTAAGTGACCCAATTATTGTTCTCTCCCTGCCCCTGCCCTACTGAGTTGGAAAGGCACCAGTTAGAAAAGCACGGATTGGGCTTCGTGGCTTTTTCCCTGCCTCTTTTTTTTTGGGGGGGGGGTGTAGAATTTTTGTGCTGATGCAGTTTTCCTCTTTCTGGCTGCCAGTTTTAAATAAGGGGTGGGTCTGATTTTGTTGTAATACACAGATTTGGCCACAAGAGGGCACAAGTATTCCACATGTTGCCCTAAATTACTAGGGCCTAGGAGAGTCTCCGTCCTCAGTTATCTGAAACTCTTATTTAAATAATAATAAAAATAATAGTAATCATAATAAATGTAAAAACGTTGGCTACTATTAAGTGCTATAAAGTGAAGGCTCTTTTTTGTTCGCGCATCAATATAGAAGTTTGACAAATTTCAAGGTGTGTTCATATTATGGTGTCTAGAGACATCGTTTTGGGAAAGGGGGGTTTGGTTGCTGGTGGCAGTGAAGAGACACCTGCCCCAAACGTTTAGTAGCGAGTGGAGGACAGCCACCAAGAGACTTGGGCTGTCCAGTTTGCTGTGCTCTGAGTTCACCCTGAATTTGGGACAAGTCACTGCAGTCCAAGCTGAGCAGGAGGCACGGAGGGCCCTTCGAAGATGAGTACATTGGAGCCTTGCGCATAAGGAGTTCAGAAGCTGCGTGGGGAGACATAATTAACTACCACCGTTTATGGAGCACCGTGTGCTAATCATGCGTGCTTTCTTACAAAGTATGTGTGCTTAAGATTCCCATTTTACAGGCGAGCAAAGTGAGGCTCGGGCAGATGAAATGATTTGCTCGAGGTCATCTACCTAATGAGTGGCAAAGCTGAGATCAAACCCAGGCCTCTCTGACCTTAGAATCATAGACCCAACTCTTAATGCCAAGCAGCCTAGGAGTTCCGCTAGGTACCACTAGAGGGCAGCGTGGAGGCTCAGACGTCGTTCCTCCCCTCTAGGAACTGGAGGTCTATTTACCGCCTTCTTCTCTCGCTAGGAAATCACGCCGGGCCAGCTGAGCCTGGAGGACCTCTTGGAGATGACGGACGAACAGGTGTGTGAGACGGTGGAGAAATACGGAGCCAACCGGGAGGAGTGTGCCCGCCTCAATGCCTCCCTCTCCTGCCTCCGGAATGTCCACATGTCAGGTGAGCAGGCTCGGGAGTGGACGGACATCTGGGGCCGTTCCTCCAGGTCCCTGTGCCTGTCTGTAGCTGCAGGCCAGGGCGAGACAGAGTCACCTCTGAGTGGTAAATGCCGCTGAGGAGCAGAGGAGAGAGGGGCCTGGATTCGGAAGCCAGAGTGGTCCTGGCAGCTCCCGGGAACTTTGGCCCAAGGGAGACCTGAAGTTACAGGGCGTTTGACTCTGGATAACTAGCCAGATATGGAAATATTGAGTGTGTGTAGGAGACTAGAGTCGTTTTATTTATTTATTAAATTATTTTTTTAATGTACACAATTTATTTTTTTAAGAATTTTTAAAGTTTCCAATTACAGTTGATCTGCAATATGATATTAGTTTCAGGCGTGCAGTATAGTGGTTGGACATTTATATAACTTAGGAAGTGATCACCCTGATAAAGCTAGTAATCACGTGTCACCATACATTAGTACAATATTATTGACTATATTCCCTATGCTGTACTTTACATCCCCGTGACTGTTTTGTAACTATCAATTTGTACTTCTTAATCCCTTCCCCTTTTTCACAGAACTGTTTTACCTTAGATATTCTGAAGTGCCTTTGTATTTTGGGTCGACATCTAATTTATTATTTTTTTGAATCAATAATATACATTCATTGTAAAATAAATCTGAAGATAGATAAAAATTAAATAACTACCCCAAGCTCCACCCTCTAGGAAGCTACTGTTGTCATGTTGGTATAATTCTTCCAGGCCAGTGGGTATGTGTATACTTTCTTTAGACAATAGAGTTAGGGTTATTCATATTATCCATATTATTTTGAAATGTGGTTTTATTTTAATTCATCTAACACAAAACCTGTGTGACTTTTTTTTTATTATCAGTTTGGGGTCCAAATATATTGTCATCTTTCTTTGATTTTTTTTCCCATGAATTGCTCAAACCCCGTTTGCCTTTTTTAGCAGGACAGCAAATACCATCCTCTTTACGCTCCCTGCTTCTTGCTAGCTTCATGATTTCCTCACAAGTTCCGGGGCTTTTTCAGTGTAAAAGAATGAGTTCTGCCAACGTCAGCCAAAGAAAAGTGTTACTGGTCCACCTGCGTGGTTGTTTCACTTCCCGCCACTAGGTGTCACTGTTGTACATGAGCCTGGCACAGTCAGGGCAATGCTTATCATAGCCGCCCTTGCTGGATTCAACAGGCAACATTCAGCAAGTCTTGATTGAGTGACAGCTTTGCGCTGGCTGTGCTGCGGCTACAAGCAGTGAACAAAACAGAACGTATTTGAAACAGGTCCTTGGCCCAGATCCCCCATTGCATGCTCCCCTTTGTATTCTTTCTTGCTAGCAGATCTTGATCAGTGTTATGATAGCATCAAAAGAGACCATGAGTTGGGGGCTGTCCTGTCGTTGAAGGATGTTTAGTAGCACCCCTGGTCTCTACCCACTAGATACCAGTAACCCCCACTCCTTACCGCCAGTCGCCAATCCCAGCCTTGACAAACAGAAACGTCTCTGGATAGTTTCATGTGTTTGTGGGGGAGCGGGTAGCACAGCAGAATTGCCCCAGTTGACTCGCTATAAAGGTTATGTTATTCCTTACTCTAGTGCAGGGGTCGGCAAACTGCGGCTTGTGAGCCACATGTGGTTCTTTGGGTACGTTCCGTCTCAAAAGTTTGCTAGACCCCTGCTCTAGTGCAATGAGGTTGACTCACCTAACATTTGCATGGCTAAGAGGGGCCTCTCAATCAGGCAATTTAGACAAAACCTGCTTCAGGTGACGTCTCTACCTACACTGAGAAGCAGCTGGCAGTTTTCTCTCCTTGAAGCAACTGCACTGAATTACAATGTTATATGTAAACATCTTTGTCAACACATGTATTCCTTCCTCATTTTTAAGGCCTGAATACTGCCACCATTTATTCAGCCTGCCTCCTATTTTTGAAAATTTAGGTTGTATCCATATTTTTCCTATCACACGTAAGGTGGCAGTGAACGGCCTTGAGTGTTATCTTTGGGTGCGTTCATGGCCATTCCTTTAGTGTGAATTGATAGGTGTATGGTTCCTGCAGCAAAGAGTTTACATATTTTAGGAATTCTGGTGAACACTGCTATGTTGCTTTCCAAAACATTTGTACCAATTTGTGCCTCTCCCCTCTCCTCACCCCTGCCCCCCCATAATGCATGAGAATGAGCATTTGAGGTTAGGCTCTTCGCTGCTTTGCAGAGTTCCTATCTTCTCATCAGAGCTGGGCTGCTGAGTTTGGGAAAGTCCTTATTACTGCAGCTGGGCTCCGGTTCTGCCTAAGAGAGGCGTGTATGTCAGCCCACTGTGGGCTGAGCAGTCAGTGTCCTTTATAACATCCTGGGCTGGGTGAGACCTTGAGAGAGAGGGCCTCCCCTTTGGGGTTTTTCAAACTGTTTGGATCAAGACTCACGGTAACAAACATGATTTATTTTGCAATCCCGTATGCATGCGTGCACGTGCGCACACACACACGCTGCACACATGTATGTACACATATATAACAAACAAGCTTCATGAGATACTACTCACCATGCATGATATCGTACCTTTTATCCTATATCATTTACCAAATGCTGGTGACGACGCACTTTCATTTCGCACCTCACTTGCGGGTTGAAAAACGCTGATCAGGTTGCCCCTCCTGCCTCCACCGGCTCCTCCCAGGCAGCTCAGCTTCCTTTCGTCCAGGATGTCCTGCCTCCGATGCCCGCCTGAGAGCCACTGGGTCCTCGAAAGCAGTGCCAAGTGCTGTGTGTTTGCCCAGCTCCTACAGCACTTGGCCCCGAGGCCAGCATGGAGAGAAACACGCCTCAGCAAAGTCTTGTCCGCTTTGCTCCGAGTTTCCTTAACGTCACGCTTTCCCTCTGCCCTTCCTGTACGTAGCAGTGCCACTTTTCACATTTTAGTTTTAACCTTTTGGGAGAGTGGTCTTTTTTTCGTAAAAAAGGATGCCTCGGTCCCCCACTAGAGCGTGAGCTGCAGGAGGGCAGGGGTCGTACTGCTTCTGCTCACCGTTAGTATTCCCAGCACCATTGTAGGGACTCAGTAAATATTTCCGAATCAATACACTTCCCTCCTGGTGTAGCCCAGGGAGATTCACCAGTGGCTTCACATACACCGTCTTGCCCACCGATGGCAACGCACTTTAGGCTTCCGTTTGGAACCCCGCTGTTCACATTTCCTCCTCAAGCCTTAAATGGCACATAAGTCTACTAGTTTATTAGGGTGTCCTGTATCAGGCATGGGTTTCATGTCTTGTTACTCCCTGCAGTGCCTAGAATTCCCTTCCTCCTTTGTCTTCCCTGTGAATCGTGCTTATCCGCAGGCCCCTCCCTCAAGGCCTCCGCACTTTGTTGAATGAATGAATGAATGAATGAATGAATATATCACCAACTGTTCATGCCTTAAAGTGATTGTCAGTTTCCTTGTCTCACTCCCTCGTCTGCCTGTGACTCCCCTGAGCACATGCGCAGTATGCTACTATTCACCCCTCTGTTCCCAGCACCTCGCTGGGGGTGGGGTGCGGGGGTGGGGGGTGGGCGGGAAAGCTATGTGACGTGCTTGCAGCCGATCTCCACCAGGGGGAAGCAGTGAGCCACCCTCTAGTGGTCCTTGGTTTGCATTCTCTTCCCTCAAAAATATTTTTATCATTGGTTCCTTAAAGCTTCTTAACTTTCGATGGTTCCATCATTTTCTGCCCTTCACCTTAACCAATAATGTAACCCCAAACTAGGGAACAAACTGGTGTCTTTCCCACTAGACTCTTGCTTCCTGAGGGCCATACCATATTCTTCTTGGTATCCCCTGCTCTCAGCTGAAGTCTACAGTGATGAAGTCAGATATTTTAAAATGAGGTGTGTAGTGGGGACTCAATGCGTGTTCGTTGAGTGACTGAGGAATGCAAGTTGTACTGAGAAAGTCTTACGGAGACAAGGAAGCTTTATACCTGACCAAGAATATGTGTCATCTCTACCCCACCCCCCTTTAGAGGATAGGGGTGGCTTCTTTTTTAAAGTCGTGACTCTAATCTTGAGTTTTCAGGATATCTTTATTTCCCAGGGTTCATGAAGCCCCAAAGGTAGGAGAGCTTAACCTTTTATTTTCTTCTCTTAGCTTATTAGATCATCCTTAGCCTGAAGCCAAAGAATACTTAATCATTCCTTCAGCGAGCTCAAGGGACCCCAAAGCCAGGGTATCTTAACCTTTCCTTATCATATCAGCTGTGGCCTGAAACCAAAAAAACATTCATTCGCTCATTCAGCAAAATTTATTGCATGTCTGCTGTATGCCAGGCACTATGATAACCTCTGAAAATGCATGCTTAGATATCTGGCCTCATGGAGTTTACATTCTAGTGGGGAGAGAAAGATGATAAATTAAATAAGCATGTGCATTTTAAAGCCTGTTAGAATAAGTGCTGTGGAGAAAAGACAAAGTGGAGCTGGCTAAGGGAGGTCAGTCGTGACCTCTGGGAATGGGGCACAGATTGTATTATTAAATAGAGGGGTCCGGGCAGTCCTCCATCTGCTCCGGTTTTCCCCTTCTTGGTCCTCAATCATTTGCTAAGAATATGGAATCGGGAGTCAAACTTGGATTTGACTGCCAAATTCTGGGTCTGCTACCTGTGAGCTATGTGATTTGGAGTCCAGTGTCATGATTCTGAGGTGAGTTTCCTAAATAGCAGGATGGAGATAATGATCATGTCTACCCCATTGGTTGTTGGGAGGATCACATGAGATGATGCAGGCAAAAGACAGAATCTGGCCCTGAAAGCGGTACATGATAACTCTTATTGTTACTGTTACCGTCATCTTCATCATTAGCACCTTGTTCTCTAGAGGCGGCCCACCTTTCCCTGGCCCAAAAATTAAAGTCAGAACCCCACGCAATTTTTCTGTGGCCCACAGCCCGCCTCCCGCAATGGTCACCACAGAGCTTAGGTCCTGAGGTGACATTGATTTGGCTGCTGGAAGG